CCCCGAATTCAAGAATTGCAATGTATTGTATTTCTGGAGCTGAATATACTACAATATCTGCATTCCTCAAAGCAATGGACGATGCAATTCATGACGGGGTCGATGTGATATCAATTTCAATGCACTATCCAGAAAAAGTTGATTTTCTTGCGAATCCAATCTTTATTGGAGCCTTCCATGCTACAGCTCAAGGGATCACCGTTGTGTGCTCCGCAGGGAACGGAGGCCCTTATTCTGCGACTCTTACTAATTATGCCCCTTGGATCCTAACTGTTGGAGCCACCACTATTGACCGTGACTTGGAGGTTGATATTTCTTTGGATGAGAAAACAGTCATTAAGGTAAATAATAATTAGGTAATTTTGTAAATTTAAAATAATTACATATATATATATATATATATATGTACTCATCACTCCATTTGATCATGTTGTAGGGTGGAGGCATCAACTTTTCTCGTCTCAATAAATCTTATCCATTAATTGACGCAGTACGTGCAGCCACCAACCCACGGGATCCATACAATGCTAGGTATTATTATTAATTCATTTAAGGCTTCTCAAACTAAATACACATGAATATTATTTAACAAACCAACTTAATTTTCATCAATTATCTGGGTGATAATGATCATGATCATATCCATGGCCACTTTTCAGCCATTGTTTCCCAGGTTCATTAGATCCAAAGAAAGTGAAGGGAAACCTATTTTTATGCGAAAACGATGATAACAACTATGGACCAACAGAAAAGTTCGAGTCACTCAAGAAATTAGGAGGAATTGGTATGATAGGAATCAGTGACTTTGAACGCCAAGAGCCATTTTTTTATGGAACTAATCCAATTGCCGCTGTTAGCAAACGAGATGGAAGCCGGATACGAACTTATATCAACTCAAAGAGGTAAAAATACTCTCCAAGGAATGTATGATTAAATTTATATACTGATATAAAAAAGTTGTTGGAAAAATACGTAAATAGTGTTTTTGACTTTTCAATTAAATAGTTGACTTCTCTTTAAAGGAAACATTCTAAAAATAATTTCTAATTAAAAAAAAAAAAACGTGTGAAGCACGTTTTGAAATGTCCAGTTTGAAATTATAAGTTTTCAACTATATACAAGATTTTATCTTTATAGATTCCATCATTTCAAATATTTACCATTTTGAACATGTTTTAAGATTTTCTAGCCGTACGGTTCCAATTTTAAATTATCAAAAAAATGTATGATACATTATTTTACAAAATATTATAATGTAATAGGTATTACCAAACCTTCAGATTACTTTTCCATAATTTTTTATTTCCAAAATATTGTGGTATTAGATTTTAAATTTGGTATAAATCATTTTCCTACAGTAGATCTATAAAAACAAATTAGGTAAAGAGATAATCTCAGAATTACCTTTTAAAATGCAAGTTTGTAATAAATGCTCCCGTGCATCGCTCAGGTTGATACTAGTAAATAATTATTATATATATATAGATATTTCAAAATGTCGGTTGCTTATCATGTATATCATTTGACGTTCAAAGGAAAACATTGGCGAAAATTTTACCAACCACGACAATCCTAAATTACACTCCAGCTCCTGCTGTTGCATACTTTTCTTCAAGAGGCCCTCCACAAGGCATTCAAAATCTTATCAAGGTACATAGCTTCAATTTTCCTTATTATAATTTTTGTGATAATATTAGTTGAGAAAATTTTGGGGTTTTATTTTAGAGTAAATTGTACCAAACCCCCATTGTATTATACGAAATAGGCGTGTTATTACCTTATGTTTTAAAAAATGCACCAGACCCCCTTATATTTGAGTAGTTGTTACACACGCTCTCTGTTCTCATTTTTCCAGTTAACGGCGTTAATTTTCCGAAAACCCCGTTATACCCTCCGGATTTTTTATATATAACTATGGTATATTGAATTTATCACGATATTTTGAAAATATCGCGAGAAATTGGCTAAATATTTTTTTGCATACCATGGGGTTCGAACCTAGCACCTCATGGGAGAATAAGAGCCATGCTACCACTGCGTTAGTCTAGGTTGAGTGTTAGATACAAGAATGTTTGATATATATATAGACATTACATATGTATAAATCAAATTAAATTCAAAACATAATGTAAATTGTATTAAAATAAATTAGTAAACTATAAACTACTAATAAATTAAAATATAATAAACTATATATAAATTAAACAAAAATAAAATAATTAAAATCAATTATATATATTTATACAAAAATTACAGTTAAACTAATAATATTAATTGTATATACTTTAAATTATTTTCATCTACTTTTTTTATTATTTATTTTAAATTTTATTATTTCATATTATCCTATCTTAATATTCATTCTATTTCATTTTATTTTATCTTAGTTAAAAAAAATTATTTATTTTGCTTGACTTAATAGAATGATATAACAGTAAAATATATTTTACTAAATAAAATTTAGAAACTAAGATTATTTATTTCTATTAAAAATCATTTACTAAAAAATGATAATATATTTCTATTTTTTGTTCATGTTCTATTGTAGAGTGAATCCTACTACAATTAGTTGATATATAATATTTTTTATTTTATTATATTAATTTAATATTTTTATTTACTATTTTAAAATAAGTTATTTTAATTATTATTTTATTTTACTTTAATAATTTTTGTATTTTATTATCTTATATTATATTGTTTTTATGTAATTTTAACTAGTTTACTTTAGTTTTATTTTTCTAATTTAATATGAGAATTTTAATTTTATGTAATTATTCATTCTTAATTTATTATTATACATTTACAAATTTATATGATTATTTTTGTTCTTATAAAAAAAATATAAATTTATTTATTTTTAATTCCTGCTACAATTATTAATTTTATCTTACCTTAATTTAATTTATTTTTTATTATTTTTATTTTAATTTAATTAATTTCAAGTTACATTATTATTTTATTATTATTATTATTGTTGTTGTTGTTGTTGTTGTTGTTGTTATTATTATGATTATTTAATGTATATTAAATTTACCTATCATATTAATTTTAATTTTATTTATTTTAAATTTAATTTCATAATGATTATTATCATTCATTTAAAAATTATATAATTAATTGTATTCTAATAAATAGATTTATATAATTTATTTAATTTCAATTCATGTTACTATATTAAGTTTTATCTTACTTTATTTTTTACTTTATTTTATTTTAGTTTAATATATATTACAAGCTGTTATTATTTTTTTATTATTATTTATTTTATTTTATTTTAAATTTAGCTATTATATTATATTTTATTTTATCTTACTAATTCGTTTGATATTATAAATATAGTTGTGTACAATTCTTAGGTAAGAATCTATATAGCCTAGTGGTCTAGGGGGCAATCTCTTTTCCTTGAGACCCGGGTGCAATTCCTCCCTCAAGTTGAATTTTAGTTTTTTCAACAAAACATTAGAGGGTATAAAGGTAATTTAATAATTATGTAAAATAGAATATTATAAAATTTTCGCAGGTGGAGAAGGTGTTGTGCACGAACCGTTAAGTTGGATGGAATGGGGAAATTGTGCAACAATTACTAAAATATAAGGGGGTCTGGTGCATGTTTTTAAAACACAGGGTAATAACGCGCCTATTTCGTATAACACAAAGGGGTTTAGTGCAATTTACCTTTTTATTTTAATGATTTGGTTCTTTTTTATTTGCAGTACTATTTAATTAATTGGTCATATCATGCCTCAAATTTTCAAATTTCTAATTTAAAAGTAATCCAGGCAGTATATAATTTTTAAATGGGCAAAATTGCATCAAAATACACCACCTTTTAACTTTTTACAATTTAATCACCATCTTTCAAAGTTTGCAACTAAGTACACCAGCTTTAGACATTTGACAAATCGAAGCAT